TCGATAATAGGGGTCTCCTATAACGGAGATCCAACAAGCCGGTAGGCGCCCAGGATCTCCTCTGATAGTTACGGCCCGCTCTCAATCAACCTGTTACCATTCACTCAAACTTGCGGATCAATAACGCCAGTGCAATTCAGGTGAGGGGTTACCGAAACTGCCAGTTCAATTTAACGCTGCGCTTTTCGTAGACATACTCGCGTGATGATAGACTGTAGCTAATGATTAAAACAAACCGGTAGAGAGAGAGAGAGAGATGGTTTATTATTTTTGTCAACCAAAATACAAATAAATTTTAAAATAATAAATTACAAAGCATTTATTTTGGTATAGACTGGGAGATGGCGATACGACCGAAGGTCATCAAAGTCAGCCACCACCCATTCCAGCCAAATACCGTATTTCTCGGCGAAGAAGTCCTTTTTTGGCCGGGGGGGGGGGGGGGGGGTAGGGTGTCGCCTTATTATGTGTTAGATAATGTTCTTTCATGGTGGACGCAATCGCGAGTTGAACACAATTAGATTAAAATTTAAAGACAGTTCGAATTCCCGTAGTTATTATGGATTGAATATTGCGCTACAAGAAAACGTCATTATAGGCTATTTTAACCAATGCGCAAACGCGGCAACTGCTCAAAAGGCATTGTAGGGTAACTTGAGATTCCGATGTTGATGCGATTTTACTACCCCGACTTATTGGCATGTTATATGCGAAAACCCCTTTTTTCAGGCTTAAAAACGGGTCTCGGTTATTTACCGGGTAGACTTATTCGCCGGGAATTACGGTAATTATTAAGAGAAAAATATAAAGTAACCGTTGACTAGTTAACTACCTAATATTTAAACGAAGTATACTCTCAGGCGCTCAATATGGATCTCCGCCATTGCTTGAGGCCCGCGTAATTTCAGTTAACTAAGGGACAAGTCGATAGGCGCCCAACTGGATCTCCGCCATTGCTTGAGCCCCGCGTAATTTCAGTTAACTAAAGGGTAATACGAAGACGCCATTGTACCGAGAAAAGTGTAACAGAACTGCCAGTTCATTTTGAGCGCTGTGCGGCTCATCGGTATCCGTGTGCATGGTTATGCGGTAGCTAATGATTAAAACACGTTCACTAGAATCCCTAAGGCTTTCTTAGTTTATGGACTATCAGATGAAAGACGACTAGTTAGAAAGAGTTCTTCCGAGGTAGCATTCTCGGAATTTTAATATTCGACTTGATTGACAAGAAAATGGCCGAAATGTATAAAAATGGCAATATTTCAACGATCGGTGCGTTTTTGCTGCTGCCATGGAAACGGAACATCAATCCGGACTCCCGGTGAAACGCACATAACTAGGGTGACAGGATAACCTACGTGTGAAATTTCATACAGATCAGTCCAGCCGCTAAGACTCTACAGCTTGGACACACAGACAGACAGACAGACAGACAGACAGACAAAACGACTGATAAATAATAAGGGTCTCCTAGAGCGAGGATCCAATAATGTTCACTAAAATGCCTAATGCTTCTCCAGTTTATGGCGTATCGAGACGAAAGACGATTTGTTCGAAAGAGTATTTTTTTCTGCGGAAGGTAGCATTCTTGGAATTTCGATTTTTGACATGGGTGACGGGAAAACGGCGATAAATTGTGAAAAATATTGAAAATTTGATAACGATCGGCGCGTTTTTTTCGATGTTGCCATGAAAACGAAACTTCAATCCGAACTGTCTATAACACGCACAGTACTAGGGTGACAGGATAACCCACGTGTGAAATTTCATCTAGATCGGTCCAGCAGTTAAGACGCTAGAGCTAGGGCTGGGCATTTTCGAATACCTGATGATTTCAGAATCGAATCGAATATTTTTTTTGAATCGAATCTCGAATAATTGGAAGGTATGAAATTGTATGTAACTTTCTTATTGTATTAGGTCCTCCAGACACATAAATTACTGAAAACGTAGAATATATCGCTCAGACAGATTGCTGAGCGTTCACATACAATAAAAACACGTTTTCATCAATAACTCACTACAGAAAAGCGTCGTATGTCAGAATTGCGTTGAAAAAATAAAAATAAAAATAGGAAATTCACCTCGACCATTGGCGGAAAGAAAAAAAAAAAAAAGATGGCGGCGATTCGAAATTTTGCTCTAAACCGATTCGAATAATTTACTATTCGATTCGAAGTGCCCAGCCCTAGCTAGAGCTGGACACACAGACAGACAGAACGACCGATGATAATAAGGGTCTCCTATAGCGGAGTTCCAAAAAACTCAAAGTCGAAATGTATTCGGCAAGCAGCAATATGCATTAGAAAATACGTTTCATCAATTTGGAATTTCTCGAGTTGGAATCAAACGTATCCAATGTTTTCTTTCTGGATGATGTTACATAATATTTCATTGAATTTTTCGATGGAAATATTTGCATTGCGGGGGATTCGTTATGCATTGTGCATATGAGATGAGGTTATTTGGTATGAACATTGCGCTTTTGGAAAGTAAGTTTAATTTTACTGGAATACAATAAAACATTATCATTGACGAAAAGTGTTTTTATCATTGTAACTCTGATTTGACCATTCTAGACCGAACCTTATCTGAACATTTCATATATACTTGTTTGAATATTGAATGGACAAACAATGGATGTAGAATCTATTTCAAAACCATGCGAATTCGATGAACTAACGTGGTTTATGTTTAGTATATTTTATATGAGTGAGCTGGTCCTAAAATATTGTTTGATCAGTGCTTTTCCGACTTTTAATCATATTGTCTTTCGAGCAAGTTTTATTTGGGTCACAAGATTGAAAGAGATTGCATGCCACAAAAGCCGGCAACAAAAAGTTGCAAATTTTTAACTGTTCAATTGAGCGTATCATATAGAACTTTTATACTGACAAATCCCTCATCAGCTATTCAGTCAATTGAATTTGACAGTTTATTATGCTCTTTATGGTTTAGGTTTAGTTGTGAAATCGGCTTCAGCTAATGACCAGCACGAGAGGGATAATCCCAAGTGTTAATAAACGTTGACCTAAGAATGAATGGCAAAAAGTTGAGGCGTAGAATGACTTGTGTAAAACAAAACGCTGCAGCTTTCGTAGTATCCAATTATACATATTTTTAACACGCGCGGGGCCGTCAAAAAAGTCTGTTACAAAAATATCCCGATGACGAACTTGGAAATGTAATTTGTCTAAAATTATATTTCATTGATTATTTAATCTAATCGCGTTTATGGGAATTTTGGCTCTGGCCTAGTGCATTTTTGGAGAAAAGATTCTCCCGTCCTTTGACGGGAATTCTTTTGCGGTTAATCAATGTTATACTTAAATTGGAGAAACTATGAGATGAAAAGAGAATGAATGAAATCGGAAAAACGTTTCGTATGATGTTTTAGTGTAAATAGATGACCGTGACTTTCACTCAGGTTTAGTATAGCCTATTGACTACGTTTAGAAGAGCATAGATATACCCTTGTTTTGAGAGATTATTCAATGATTATTTTAGGTCGGGGGTCGGGAGAGTCTTGAAAGATACATATTTCCAATTGCATTTCGTTGCGAGCCATATGATATTTTTCATCACCTAATCATGTCTTAAATTTCTACTCAACAGTTAAAACATATAATGTCAATATACAATTAATATGCCTTCTGGTGCTGCATGTTGTCGCTGAGGGCCTTTGAACGACTGCTCACATGCAGCACAGGTTGAAATCCACGATACTCATCACCACCTTTCTTTCTTTTGGGCTCTCTCCGTAGTGCTTTAAAAATTAACCTACTAGTCCAATCTAAATATTACAAATAAACAATACAAACTGACGGAATACTTTTATTCCTTTATTGCATCGCGACTCTAACGTAACGTGATATCACAAAATATGTTTCAGAATCCTATAGTTTTGTCACAATGCCTATCTGATTTTCTCGCATAACATAGGCATGCGGTGAGTGCTCGTTCCCAAACGTATTGGCAAATTTTCTGCCAAATTTGTCTATAAAAGAGAAATCTGGTAGTAATAGAAGCTTAGCCTTAGAATACTGGATTTTTCTGGGAGCCATATGCCGTCACCAAAAGAGCCATATAGGGCTCGCGAGTAGGGATGTAAGTTTCAGAATTTCGAAGCGATTCGAATCAACATCAATTCGAAGCAATTTAGGAAAATGAGGCTTGATTTTATTTGGAAATGAAATTGCATTTATATAACACAGGGCAATTGCACGACGCAGAGGCGATGTCTCGTTACTTTACGTTTACAGCTTTCCAAAGTCCTAACACTCCCAGAGTTGTTATATTTCATATCGGTAGCAGCAATCGTTTCGCTCTAATTTGTTCGACTACTTAAAATGTTACGAAGATTCACAGATAATTTAATATAATAAACGTTCATCTAGAACAGCGTTCCCCAAACTGTGTTCCGCGAAACACTAGCGTGGGTGGACGGACAAACGATCCTATACAATAACTTCTGCAGTATGCGAAAGTTATTGTCTCACTCCAAGAGTAGTGTGATGAATTTTATTTGCAATGGTAGCAGTAGCATCCAAATGCTCAATTTGTTCTAATTCTAAACAAGCGAAGAATCGCATTTGGAGGAAATTGTACGTTAGATACCGAAGTTTGAGCAGTCATGTAACATTCATAGTTTGAGAATATTTATTTTTCGCTGTTTGGATAATACATTAATACTTGCCAAGGTTTCTTGAAGAATTATTAACACTTACGACTAAAAATTAGGCACGCTTATATCTGAATTGTTTGATTTGAATAAATCTCAAATAAATGATGAAACATTTACTGGGTGCAATTGAATAATAAAATCAACAACTTGAATGGAACATAAAAAATACAAATTTTGTGTCGATATTAATAACAATGTGCCCACAAAGCCTTCTTTTTGGCACCGGTGGATTTTTTTGTATGTGCGTGTGTGCAGTTTGAAGAAAGTTAACGGTAATATGATGATATACTAAATAGAATGAGATTTGAAAAGATTCGAATCGGAACATTGTGATTCGAAAAAAAAAATATTCGAAACTTACATCGCCCGTCGCGAGCCATGGGTTCTCGACTTCTGTTTTAGGTAAAGCTCTAATATAGTGTACAAATGGCCTCAATAACGACAGCAAGTTACTCGGACCAGACGACGGCAGCACTCCTGCCAGATGCAAATTTAGAAACATGGGATTTCGTTGTTATCGGTGTCTATTTCGCATTCATATTAGCTGTTGGGATATGGGTGAGTAATTGTTCAACTTCGATTGTTATAATCTGGTAAATTTTTAAGATATTTTCATTTTACGGCCATAGTTACAATGGAAATTTGTATTTTTTACTAGCAAAATGTGCGCATTTTTCTCCTTCATTTATATAGGCAATCGTAAAATATAATATAGCTCTGCGTATTGTGCTCAGTAAGTAAAATATAGAGCAGGGCTACTCAACTGGCGAACCGCGGACCGAATCCGGACCTTTCGCGTATTTGATTCGGACCGCACCTAATTCTTTATTTTGGATCATTAGCCCCACATTTGAAGTTTCCTTTTATAAAATGACTTTCATAGTTTTGAATATATATGTAAAGAACTATAACACACTAATAGTCAATATTGATTCATTAGCCAGTTTAATGATTAGCCAGTCGAGGAAGTGTGCGAATAAGGATGCCAAAATATAATTTCTGGAAAGACCGGACCCAAATAATTTTGAAGTTTTGTGTGCGGATCTTCGATGAAAATAGTTGAGTAGCCCTGATATAGAGTATGAATAATTTTAACATAGGTACAAAAGCGTGTGAACAACACTTTAATCTCAGATTCATAATTGACTATATAATAACATAACCGAATAAATTTCTGCTCGCAGGCGATGTGCAGCACGAATCGTGGAAACGTTGACGGATTCTTTCTCGCCGGGAGACACATAACTTGGTTTCCTGTCGGAGCATCTCTTTTCAGCAGCAATATTGGAAGTGGTGATTTCGTTGGACTGGCTGGAACAGGAGTGGTCGGCGGAATTGCAGTCGGTGCATTCGAATGGAATGTGAATCCTTTTGTTGAAATTTCAATTTTTAAATAGAGGTTACCCAGTAAACACAATCCCTTCTTTCGAGTATAACATTGTTTGCATAACTTAACATAATTTTTTTCGATTCTCCGTCAATTCTGTAATTATTAGAATGGAAAGTCTACAAAGATGGGAGAACAAACTAAATATTTGCGAATTTTCATTTAATAGTATATACACGGCGTTATAACTTTTTAAGCGCTGCTTCAATCATTCAGCTAATTTTGGCGTTTGCCGGATGCCAATACTACGCTATATATGCCTAAAATATCTAAGCTTCGGCGTCGTTGGCATGCATGTCGCCTATATGGGGGGATCCTCATGCAAGTCATGTATGCCTTTACAAAGTTCCCAATTCCTAATAAATAAAAAACGAGAATATCGGTCAGAGACCGAAACTTATCGATTGAAAGTTAGGGGATCCCGAAACAGCGCCCTTACTCCATAGTGACACCTTGTGTCCCATCACTAATTAATTAATAACTCGCTAATTATACGACATAATTCATCCATAGGCTTCTGATCCGAGATATGATGAATGCATATGCAAAATTTGGAGTGGATTCATTCTCGCTTTCGTGAGATATCTCGTGTATCTAACAGACAAACAAACAAACAAACAGACAAATACCTATCAACATACTTACCGATCTTAAGATCGATAAGTAACAAATAACTTTCTGCGACAATGCTCTAAATTGGCTTAGTTCTTCATCATATACGTTTGCGTTTTGACAACCTAGACTAGACAATGCCAATAATAATAAAAGCACAGATTACGTGTTTGTTGTCTTTTTACCATATTTTTTGGGGGATATTCACGCACTTTATAAATATTTTCCTAAATTTTGTTTTAATTTTCTCAAAATGGGACAAGGTCAATGTCACCAGTGATTATATTATAAACTTGAATTATAATTTTTACCAGGCCATGCTTACGCTCTTCTTCTTGGGTTGGATATTTGCACCAGTTTATATAGCTGCTGGAGTCGTCACAATGCCCGAATATCTTGAGGCACGATTTGGAGGCCAAAGAATTCAAGTGTATTTATCAGTGTTGTCGGTGTTGCTTTATATTCTAGTGAGAGTATCGGTAGGATATATAAAAATTCATGAAAACAAAAACTACATTTACAGAGAACAAAAAGTAATTAGGAATTGAATAAAAAGCGCATTTTCGTTTCGTAAGACTATTATTAAGGATGCAGTCTGTCTACAGTTAATTTAGATTTATAAATTCTCAATTGTCCTTCTTCGTATGAAGTTAATTCTTCTGATCCGTAATCAAATTTCTCGATTTGCTCAATTTTCCCCCATATTGTTCTTAGGTATTGAAATGCGCAACTGCCTTTTTCATATTGAGTGATATAATTATTTTGATTTATTTCAACAACACACAATTAAACATTATATTCATCCACTCTAGGCCGACTTGTATTCCGGAGCAATCTTTGTTCAAGAAGCTCTTGGATGGAATATTTATTTATCTATGGTTCTCCTTCTGTTGATCACTGGATTATATACAGTGACTGGAGGATTAACTGCTGTCATATATACAGACACTGCTCAAACTTTAATCATAACTATTGGATCAGTAATCATGATGGTATTGTGTAAGTATTTACCTATATTTTATTGGGTTGTCATAACACAAGTGCTAGATTGAGCCTTCAATATTTTTTTATTCGCAAAAATTCTTCTCTGTCAGCGTTTGAAAGCATTGGGGGATATGATCAACTGGAAACAAAATACATGCAAGCAGTACCAAGATTGAGGCCAGCAAACACAACATGCGGTGAACCGAGGGAGGATTTTTTCAGCGTTTTTAGAGATCCAGTTACAGGAGATCTTCCTTGGCCTGGACTAACTTTCGGTTTAACAATATTAGCTACGTGGTACTGGTGCACAGATCAGGTTTGTGTTCAGAATAATATTTGAGATTGTGTCATCTACGTGAAAACGCAAAAATAGCATGAAATTCTTTAGTGTCATTTGCACTCCTTTCTAAGCAATAGTGATATTTCATTGTAACATAATATGTTAATATCCGACATAAAATGGGAATGTGAAAAGTATTTCATGTTTTAACTCTCGAAAACTTATCCCCTCGGTTTATATTAACACCCTACGCTACGGATGTTTATTCTTTCGATGCTTCGAGTCGGTGTTCGTAAATTAGTATGTAGAGTACATGCCATTTTAGTTTATTGGACACGTAGTGGACATAGCGATCGTTTCAATATTATGTTGTTGTTGTTCTTATTGTTGTTCTCAGTGTCCTTGTTCTTTGACACGTTTTGAGGAAATCGCTTTTCTCTTCGAATACTGGACCAATTGCTTTGAAATTTTCAGAGGTTGAAGATAAAATTTTTCTCCAGAAGGCTATTACTTTTTTTGTTGCTATGACGTCATCAAAATTATTCCCACTGGGTGGCGCTACGTGTCCATATATTTGAGCATAGCTCTCTTGTTTCATAAAATATTCACTAGTGTTATCTCTAATGCAACAATATTCCATTCCAGGTTCTTGTTCAAAGAACGTTGGCAGCAAAAAACCTGACACATGCAAAAGGAGGTTGTGTTTTGGCAGGGTTTATTAAAATAATGCCAATGTATACAATTGTAATGGTTGGAATGGTCAGCAGAATCGTATTAACTGGTAAGTGAAGTTATTGGTCTGTGGCAATGCGGCACGATATTATCAATGGGTTAACAATCATTGCTTGGTCGACAAAACTTACGTTAGTTGCCTCATATAGCCGATGTCAATGACATAAGCAGTCCCTGTTACAGAGACCTATCTAATGTCTGATACATCCCACTCTCACGTTACTGTTATATATACTGTAACTTGGTAGCTTAACATTATTCTTAGGCCTCGTACTAGTTGATGGTTGGTGCGTTGACAAACTTTTGGCCAGCTCATATTACTTGCTTTATTTCGAGTATATAAGTTGCGTTGCATTTACTTAACAACAAAAACAGATATATACCTCAAATAGATTATGGAGTTGAATCATTACGTTAAAATTAAATAAGACAACACCATATTAATTTAGATGCAATTGCATGTGTACTACCAGAAGAATGTATGAAATATTGTGGTTCAACCGTCGGTTGCTCCAATGTTGCTTATCCTAAGCTTGTACTGGCAACCATGCCAACGGGAGCAAGAGGTAAAGTTGTGAAGTTTGTTAACTACTGAAATATTTTGGAATGTATTAGGAACAATGAAGCGTTGTGGAACTTCGATTTCATTTCATACAGATTACCGGCGGTAGCAATCGATCTAACTTTAAACTTGACTTTCACTTTACTTTTGACCAATGGATCGATTTGTTATTATGTTGTTGTGGATATTCTTAATATTTTTCTTCTTATTGTTTCTATTGTTGTTATAAAAATCGTTTCTCTTTTTCACTACTGACCAATTGCTTTGAAACTTCCTGTGTTGAAGATTTTTCTATTGTTATTATTTTTATTTGGTTCAAAAACTTCTGTGTGCTCTATCGGATTCGTTTTTTTGTGTGTTTAATGAAGTCATCAAATGCATAAATGCACCTTTCGAAGGTTCCATCTGTTGGTCAGCCAAAGTCGGGAAGACTACAGTGCCGTACGGCAGGGCTACTTAACTGGCGGATCGCGGTCGGAAACCGGACCTTTCGAGTATTTAATTCGGACCGCATCGCACAGGAATTCTTTATTTTGGATCATTAGACCCACTTTTGAAGTTTCCATTTGATAAAATGACTTTGATAGTTTTGAATACCATATTTCTCCGTGTATAATACGCACTTTTCCGTTCCGAATTTCATCTCCGAAATTAGGGGGTGCGTATTATATATTGTTGTAGAAAATTTTCAAAAAATCCTGATCGTTATTTTACACGCAATTGCCAAATACACATGTTTCCTTTCGGTCTTATTTCTATTAATTTTATGTGACAAAGTCCGTAATAACCAGATCATGCTTGTTGCAGTAGAATCACACCCACAGAATGGACTATCTTGTCTAACAAAGGACAACGCATCTATTTCGATAACCAGTGTATATAAGTGATAAAAAGGTCACTTTAAATCGATAGTTTGATTGTTGTTGTCGTCCAGTCTGGCGTCCCTCAATTCTGTTGTCAATTCTGAATGTTCCTAAATCATTTTTTTCTGACTTTGATTTGCGGCTTGTTTCATTTCTCTCGTTTTGACTAATCGCCGTGAGTAATCGGCAAACCTAACGCTCACAAATCTTTTTTTCCCAACCATTTTCGAAATGCTCTAAGATAAGTAACAGCACGATAATTCAAAGTCGGGTAACAGCACTCCGAGATTGACAGACTCAGACCTGTAGATGTCATAAACACTTGAAACATATTATTAAATTCACAGTGAAACTTGCTAGGCTGGCTTCTCAAAAATACCAAATGCGGTCGACGCAAGTGACCGAAGTGAGTGACTAAATTCGACCGTGCGTATTATGCATGGACCTTGGTATTTTCATACAATTCACATCCTAAAAGCGCCCTGTGTATTATACGTGGGTTCGTATCATACACGGAGAAATACGGTATATATGAAAAGATCTATAACACAATAAGTAATTTTGATTAGTTAATAATCATTAGCCGGTCGAGGAAGTGCGCGTTAAGGATGGCGAAATATAGTTTTGGAAAGTCCGGAGCCGAATAATTTTGAAGTTTTGTATGCGGATCTTTGGTAAAAATAGTTGAGTAGCCCTGCCATACGGTACTGCAAAAGATTAGATTCCCGTACTATTCCGTTTGGGCTTTCTTGTCCATATATTTAGGCATTGCTCTATTTTTTGAGTAGCGAGTCTGGCCGCGATTGGCGCTAACTGCTTCCAAGTTTTGGGAAGTATTTGCATTTATTTTTTGTGAGAAACATTAGATTGCGAGCCCATGGCATTTGTGGTATACTTCCTTTTCTCGTAAAATACATTATACATTATATTTGAAAGGATTGCTACTTGCAGCCATGGTTTCGGCCTTGATGTCTTCTTTAACATCAGTATTCAACAGTTCTTCAACTTTATTTACTTGTGATATTTGGACTAAGATTCGAAAAAACGCATCTCAACGAGAATTAATGATTGTTGGCCGGTAAGGTATCTGTGAGAGTTTTGTAGTTCATTTATATATCATATGCATTTACAACAATAGTATGGTTAAAAGCAGTACCTATTATCACATTGACGTGCGCTGTTTAGGAAGAACCATATCGCCACGCTAATACCGAATGGCGTAAGTCATTTTTGGCGATTTTGAGTTTTTTATAAAATAGGTATTTATGTAATGCTGCGCACCTGTCTGTCAACTCAGATTTTATTTTAAGAATTGCGAAATCCATAAAAATGGAGATTTAGTATGACATGCACATTTGTGCAAATGTTTCGTCATAATGAACTATCATTGTTACCGCAAGACTATTGTGACGTCACAATGGCAAAATACCCTCGGCGAAGTATTTTCGAGTTTTTGCATCTCGGATTCTAGCTTAGCGCTTATAAATTTCAATTTATACTACAGTATAGGAAGGCGTGCACTTGTGATACTCACTGTCCGAGTCCAATTCACCTAGGTTGGCTTTTATACTGGGTACATTGCTGTTTTATTGTTTAAATTTAATCTTAGTCTTATTTCGGTGGGTGTGCAGATCGTGTTATATTAATGAAATATATATTTTTAAACATAAAAATTAATGTAATTAAGACTGATTAGCTATTTGGGGGATTAGACATTGTAGATACTGAAAATTACATTCGTTTTTGGAATGTTCAGTTTTCAGGACTGGTGCACATAGTAAAGTTGCAAAATTGCGTATGTCCCCAAGTCATAGACACATTTCTGCCTAAGTCACAGTGCGGCATTATGACGTCACTTAACTGCGTCATACAAATTAACTTAAATCCGGCTACGATCAAAAAATTGAACCATGGCAAATATTGACTTTCAATGGCATAACAATATCATTAGGAAGTTTTTTACGTTTTCTCAAAACTGCTAAAAATGACTTACGCAATTCGGTTATTGGCGTGACAATATTTCTTTTTGCACCCAGTTCATTTTTTTTTTATTGAGTGACCATGATTTATTTCAAATTGTAATTGAATTACAAAGAATGCTAGTTGAACTAATTTTTTTTATATCTCAGCGTTTTTATTCTTTGCATGGTGGGAGTGAGCATTGCCTGGGTGCCAATCATACAGGAAGCTGCAGGTGGACAACTATTTGACTATATACAGGCTATAACAAGTTATCTCGCTCCTCCAATTGCAACTATTTTTGTGACTGCTGTATTTTGGCCAAGACTCAATGAGCCGGTATGTATGTAGATAATGTCAATGGTGACGGATTTGTACCTCTTTGCCCTCTCTTTTTTCTACCTGCATTTCTTATTTTCCGTTCCACCGTTTGTCAGCTAAAACAGAACCAAATCGCGAAATATATTTCAGGGCGCTTTCTGGTCATTGTTAATCGGAATGGTTATTGGTTTAACCCGAATGATATTGGATTTTGTCTACACAGCGCCATTATGCGGAGAAGAAGATACAAGACCACTGGTTCTGTCAAAGGTTTGTTCTCCGCTTTAACATAGACTAGAGTAGTTAGCTACAACATAGACAAAACTTGAATTGATTAAAATTGTTTAGTTTGGTCCAGAATTTGCCGTCTGAGTATAAATTATAATGTAAAGGTTAATAAAAATAAATTCTTCTCGATGCTTTTGAAAAAATTATTTTTATTCCAGGTCCACTACCTTCATTTCGCGTTGATTCTTACGGCTTGTACGTTGATAATAGAAGTTAGTGTCAGCTTGTGCACTCCTCCTATTGCCAGTGAACACGTGAGTTTTTCGTGTTCAAAATATTACATAATACTGAATTCAAACAAGAGAGTAATGCTAAAATATATAGACTCGAAGGCCAAAACGAAGTAGTATGAAATCTTTTACAATACGGGCAGTCTGACCACCAAATCACTGAGATGTAATCACGAAACCACGGGAAGCAATTTTTAATTTTGATAACGTCATCACACAAAACTTCGGAGTGAAAAACGAATCCCATACATCTCACAGGTATTGTTTGAAATGATTGCTCATAAGCATAAAGGCCTTTTAGCGACAACAACAAGCTTTAACCAATGAAAAAGCAATTAGTTCAGTAGTTGAAGAGAGAAGCGATTTTTTCCGAACAACAGCATAATAACACAACAAAACGATCTCTGGGTTCCCGAGGTCAACAATAAAACTGTTTAAGCACAGTTTATGGTCTGAAAAAAGTAGGTACGGTATATGTTATATTCAGTGGTGGTATTCGGCCGGTTCGCCGGTATCAGCGAACCGGTTAGCATTACTGATTACTGTCAATGACTTTTTGTAACAGAACCGGGTAAAAAATATGACTTTTGTGATGGAACTGGCTGATAAAAAAATTGAATCCCACCACTGGTTATATTATTTGCACTCTCTAACTCTCATCTCATAAGTAACTCAATAAGCGAGGGTAATATACTTTTTTTTTTATCTGCGTGAAAATGGAACCGTCCATTTTTCATAGTTGCACAGATTGACATATTGGACCCGACTGAGTAAGAAGAAAAGAATTCCAATCGAACAGACTTTTGAACTTCATGGATCCGGTAACCAGCAGAACGATGTAAGCGCGGCAAATCAGTGCTTTCGAAGTTTATACTAAAGCAAAATATATCGGATACCATTACAAATCAAGTATCAATCAACGATTGTTTTTCTGCCGTTAGACGGCGACAAAGTATCGAATAAAATGGTGTATGACTGGGTTTTTGATATGTCTCTGAATTACTTTTTTTTTTAACTTTTGAAAGGAGACTGTAAATTAAGATTGACAATATGTTTAGGATTTTATCTTACTAGTACAATTACAACAATTTAACCAACAGGAAACTGAGGGAGGATATCCAAATGAGGTGATGGTTGGCGATAATGAAGCAATGGCAAACGGGAATGGAAAACATCCTTCACAAAGTACAAGTTTTTTTAATGATTTATTTTGTATCAAACCTACATAATGTTGAAATCATGTAATACCGGTAAGAACAAGACGAAATAGTTTAAAACTTGATTATACCTTTATTTGTTTCACAAATTCACGAATAGACTGCAAGGAAGAAGACAATGGTAATTTTTTGTAAAATTACCGTACTTGGCAGCGAATGTTTGCAAATGTTGTGTCGGGGTCAGTTCAAATAAAACCTAACAGCACATTTTCAATTGTGAAAATGAACTAACTCTTTATTGTTTTCTTTGGCTCAACAGAAAAACAAAAGTCTTGGCTCAAACGAGGATTTGACCTCTTTTGCGGTTTTGATGACCAAACCTCGAAGCAACCTTCATCGGATTCTGTAATATTGGATATCAACGAAAAGAAATGGCCAGCATTAATTGTAAACATAGCTTGCGTGCTCATGTTAGCCACAATGGTGTTTCTTTTTGCATATTACGCATAATACTTCACGTGAAGGAAGGGAGAAATAATGAGAAAATTATTACTTCCTGCATGATGTTATTCTCCTTTCAATGTTTTTTTTTGAATAATCAAAACGAATAATTGCATAAACAATTTTATTATTGTCAATCCCGATAATTGACGAGTCCAATTAAAGACAGGCAAGAATAAAATGAAATATAGTTGAACATTTTATAAAAACTGATTTTGATGAAAAATACAACTGATCTATTCGTAATGTGTTTGTGGGTCACAAGTTACAACGGGGTTTTGCATCAGAATAACGCTTATTCTGTGTCTGTGGCGATATAACGTTCTATACAGTTCTGAAGCTCCATGGCTTCGAAAAATATTCGAGAATGCTATCCATATTATTGATAATCAAACATATTCCACCAAAATTACAACACGGCTTATAGAATGAAAAAAAAACTTAATTAAGGACAGGTTAGAAACGATTTGATTTTTACAGACGGAGGTTGTGGGGTTGTATACTTGGCAGTCAGAAAAATCACATTCCACTATATTTCAAATTAAAACCGAAAAACTTGATATAAAACTAAACAAGCAATTGCGTCATAAATATAAATCCAAAAATATGTTGTGAGTCGGAAGTTCACTCAGTTTATAATAATAATAAAAAACAACGAAATATATACTTATAGAAAACAGGAATAAACTAAAATGTAGCTAAAATTTTGCTCTCACAACGATCGATAATAAGATAAGTATCCACCAGTTAATTGAATCGTAGTGTTTATACCAGTGACCCATTACTACACGATTGAGGCATCACAAAAATACATTTCCAAAAGACGTAGTTTTCCTCGTATATCATTTATACATTGACTTCCTATCGAAATTTTAACTCAACGAAAAACTGATATTTATGAAAACAATATTTATGTTCAAAGATTCTATACGGTGTATAATTACCTCAGGGCAAATACCAACCATAATCTGCGCTTAGTAACTTCAAAATATTGTCAGTCACAGATAATCTGCGCGATAGTTTCAGATTCAGATTTGGCTCTTGTGCAAAAGGTTGTCAGAAATTGGCTGTATGGTTGAAGTTTCTCAGAAGCGCAGCGGTCGATACTTTTGGATTTACCGTATAATGAGACTCTCTGTGTAATTATAAACTGAAGTGTGTGGTTTTGAATACATATTTCACGTAGAATTTAATTTATTTCTTTATTTAATTTATACATGTTGATAACAGTTGAAAATTTTTGTTATTGAATAAGTTTATTATTTTATTGTATCAAATTAATTGAGAAGCCAGCTGATGCAATTATATTACGCTCATGATATATTTGCTTCGAATAAAAATCAAAAAACGATTTTTATGTCAAACGATAAAATCAATCAATCTAGTCGTTTAATGGATATCGACGTTTTAAAATGCTAGTGAAGAGAATAAATCTGTTGAAGAACAGGTTTTATCTGATACTTAATTTCCGGTACCCATTCTGGCAGTATAGTCTATTTTGTGAAAAAAATCATAAAATTGTATTTTTTATAACATACAATATCAATTTATTGTGTATTTTAAAAATGATGCCTTACAGTGATTCATATGTAGAATAACAGGCTCATTATAGTAGACTCACATCGTGTTGAAATAATAGTTGAATGCACAATGCGCGATAGACTTTAAGAGCTGTGGTGACTTTTACAAGTTTCCATTAATGTGGTAACATGGACGAAATTGCCTAAGGGTCACCGCTATCTGTGATCAGGTGACAAGTTCATTACTTTATATCGAGATTACCACGTCATTGCACCATGACGTTATTTTACAGCCTCGTCAATAATTACCCTGTTTGTTTTGCTAAAGACGAAAGATATCCTTCTAAATCTAAAAGTATATAGTACTATTTTCAGTTAAGTCAAAACATCAATAAATCCACTTCTCGCTGAACAAATACCTTAATTATAAGTTCTGTTTTAGGCAAAATGCAGTGAACTCACTCGGCGAGGTATGGACTTAGGAAAAGTACGGAATGGCTTTGCTATGCAACATTTTGATTTCAAAATAGAACATATAAATACTCTAAGCAAAACAGCTGGTTTTGTTTTGTTCTTGAAATCTCAGTTAAGTTGAATAGTTCCTCTTTTACAATTGTGAGCAGAATGACGATACCTTCAGTAAAGTTTAAGTGGTTGTTTTTGCCAACGTTTTTATGAACATCAATGAAACTCTGAGAGTGGAAACTCTGAGGGTGGAAGCTCTAAGCGGCCATCCTCGCTATCTTAGGTAGGAAATTTATCTATATATGTATATTATAGGGCTTGTGTGTCTTCAATCTTTGCCTGCCGTCCTATCCATTGTTTATTACAGGAGGGCCAGATACATATAACTAGGTGAACGCGCGGCCCGCACCTATATTTACCCTAGGCTTTCTAGGGTTGCAGCACAAAAATTTTGGTAGGTAGTTGTTAGGGCATTTCATATATATATAATACATTGGACTCATTTGTAGGCTTAGCAGTGCAAAAGGATTGGAATTATTCGCACGTACCAGTTTCGCAGCCGCACATCATTCAAAATTGGAACTCCTCCGCGTGTCGCACAATTTTTTCCTGTGGGCCACACTTGGCCCGCGGCCCGTAGGTTGCACACCCCTGATTTATTGCACCATGATATGTTAGTTGAGTGATTTGAGTACAGCGTCGCTGCTATAGGCTTGAAAGGGTTGATTATTTATTGCCAAAGTAATTTCAAGAAAATACTTATTTTATATAAATATTACTGTTTATAGGTAGCACAACAGAAAAATAAATTTGTGAGGGGCGCCACATTAAATAGTCGCGCAGTAATAGTTGTACCTTCAGATTTATCATTACGATTCTCGATGGACTATAACGATTTCTCAATTTCAGCTTCAACTCTGTAAAAATCAATCTTATTTTGTTTGAAACGGTGACATTTTAAAAATATATTTTGCATTATCGATTTTGCTTAACGAGAAATGAAATCGTTGAAATATACAAATACAATAATAATAAGTAAAATCGCAAATGATTTCTGTTTAAAGTTATATGTACTTAAAGACTGAAATTTTATAGTTCAGAAGTTTTAAATCAAAATGACTTGATGAAAAGTGTAGCAATGCAATGGATAATAATATATTTCTAATAAGATGAGAAAATAAGTAATAACTTTATCATCATATAGTAAAAATCATCATAAAGTTTTCTTGGGTATCAGAAAGCAAGACGTAAGAAGTGAATTGTCATTAAATGCGAACAATTTCTTGAACAGTAAGTACAAAGAGTGGCACTATATTTGAACGATGACGTGATGACAGCGCGAATAAATAGTACTCGAGATGCTGGAATTTAGGAATACTAATTTTATTTTTTGAAAGATGTATTGAGTGAGTAAATGTGAAAACACGTTCATTCTAGACTTCAACCTAATACATGGTTACTGAAACCTAAGTTAACTCGATTCTTGTTCATGATGATTAAAATATCTGCATATTGGATCTTGCAGATCAGTCAAATGACTACCAGGCGCACCATGAACATGTCCCGGACTTCACAATTTTCAACGTTCGATATAAAAAGTGTTTAATGAGGCCTTCTTATTCAAACATCAGCTTAAACTACGGAAATCAATTTTTTCGACGTCGGTGCATATAAAAGTATAAAAAGTCTATAAAGGTTGTTGAAACGCGATTTAGTTTTACGTGGTGTTGTAATCTAACGGAACAATTGGATAGCCATTACATGGCGGCTTTGAGATTTTTCGGTTATTTATTATGTTTAGTTTTGTCTTAAAGATTTGTACTATCAGCCGATACAGTCATATAGTCTAGCTAGACTCTATATAGTATAAAACATCGATAGTTATTAAGTCAATTTAAATAATAATACTTTACCATGACTATTAAATTTAACATTAAATTAAATTATCTTTTCTCTTTTTTTTTATATGAAAACGAAAATGGTGTTTCGTGCTTGGTTTTTATTGAATTAGAATTTTATTAAGTGTTTGGAACCTGGCTCCTAACAGGATTCTATACATAAATATAGCCAGGGAGTCTGTTATATAGTGAAGATTTTGATTCTTTCAGTTAGGCATGAAGTCTATACCGATTCTTACACTTTGGTTGACGCGGATTAGGAAATGACTGAAAAATATCTTAAATAATAGTCTAACTAGAAATTATAAATGACACTGATTCGAAACAAGAAAACTTCTTTTCAGTTTTATTATTGGATGGATTAATAGTTCTATTTCACACTGCAATGAAACTTGTTGTAAATCATTCAAGAATAAAGAATACAATTGAATAATTGATATGGGCGTGTACAGCATCTAGCTATTATTATGTTTATTGTCGAAATTAAGTATAATACTTTTAATACTCAAGGGAAACAAAGACTAAGAACTTGTTAACGTGCGTAATTAATTGACGTGTCACCTGAACAATAAAACGCGGTTATTTAAAACGCCCATTTATGTAAGTAGATAGATAGATATCAATTACGAAAAATTTATTAAAAAGTTTATTAAATTTTTAAGAAGATTATAAAAAGGGAATAAAGAATAGTACAATGTTTTCTGATGAACCTAATTTTTAAAATCAATTGTTAATGTCAATTTTCGTATTCAAATGTCTTCAGTTGGTAAACATGTATTAATTATATAACTGAAACATTGCAGAATAGCAGCTTCTTTGAACGCACACATATTGACAGCATAAATAAATGGTGTGGTGAAAGATTGACTCGTAGTTGAATATAATTTCTAAATAAATGACACAATATCTGCCTCAGGCACACGTTGTGCTCATTGGTATTGTATACGTGGCTTCCAACATTTCAACAATTTTTGCAGGTGAATTTGAACAGATTGAATACCATTTTATTTTTTAGTTTATTGTTTTGGGCGGTAAAGATTGTTACCCCGTATGTCCCAAATGTCCTGATATTATATTAGTATTAAACGATGTCCGGTCTAGTTCCGAACATCCAATAACAATAGCTGAATGCATGCGTTTGTGTAGTAATGGATCCGTGTTGATAAGTGCTATTAAAAAGACTCTTCTTTAGTGTTGAATTGAAGATTGAATTTTTTTTAATCGTTTTTTCCAAATATACCGAAAAATTCAATTACGCAAAACGATAATTTGGTAATAATCAAGAAGAATAACGGATAAATAAACGGATAAATGAACAGTCGAAGTGTCGCTCCATGTCTATTTTACTGTTATACACATTCCTGAAC